TCCCACCATCAAACTTCTACGGTTCATCAATAATCCCCTGAATTTTTTATGTCTGCTCAAATCTCTTCCTCCAATACAGTTGTTTCCCCTTATCTGCAGGGGATACATTCCAAGATGCCCAGTGGATGCGTAAAACCGCAGATAGCATTGACCCCTACTATGCTATGTTTTTTTTTTCTTATATATACATACATACCTATGATGAAGTTTAATGTATAAACTAGGCACAGTAAGAGATTAACAACAATAACTAATAATAAACTAGAACAATTATAGTAACATACTGTAATAAAAGTTAAGTAAACACAGTCTTTCTCAAAATATCTTACTGTCCTATCCTCATCCCTCTTCTTCTTGTGATGATGTGAGATGATAAAATGCCAACATGATGAGATGAGAGGAAGTGAGTGACATAGGCATTGTGAATTAGCATGAGGCTACCACTGACCTTCTGAGGAAATGTCAGAAAGCGGATCATCTGCTTCCGAACCGCAGTTGACAGAGGGTGACTACAACCATTAAAAGCAAAACCATGGATGGCGGGGAGGGTGGGGCGGGGGGGCCTACTGTATTCCCATTTCTAACTTTATGTCTTGTCCTGTATTACTCACATTTCTATCCACACATGTAAACTGTGAAACTATTTGTTTTCTGTCAAGTAGTACCTGAAATTCACTTCTTTCATAAATCAATGTCACACTATATAATCAAAAGGTATCTGAAAGGTAAGGAGTTGGAATCCTGGAGTGCATGTATTACACGAGAACTGTTCAGCCATCCCCTAATTATGACCCAGGAGGGTTCAGAAGACACTCCCTTCATCAAGCTTGAAGAAATGCACTGATGAAGCAAACACCGTCATCCTTGTACAGTTTTGTATTGCCATTCTCTACAAGCCATTAATGCTATCATTAAACCAGGCTCCCTGAATTCACTGGGGGTGGTGGGATACTGGAGTGACGGGTGCCAAGTGCCATGACCTAACGATCTTAATTACCAGAGATAAGGGAAGCATGGTTGCAATAATGGACAGAGCTAAAGGGGTCATCAGAATAGTTTGATCTTTGGCATTGGCTAATTTATTGTCATCTTCCTAGGATTCAAATATATAAACACCCTATAGTGTCTTACTTGATTTGTATATACCAAAAACTCAAGTCTGGGGGAAAGAAATCTGGTTTGAATCCCTGAACAGATAGCCCTGGATCTGATTCCCGGGCTTGATTCAGTCTGGATCAAGTAGATGCAGAGCCCCTTAAATTAAGATGAGGCGAGTCTCCTTGAGGAGGAATCCTGCTACACTGTAAACCTCCCACCCACCTTTCCCCAAAGACACTTGTGGCAACTTACTAGTATTATCGTATGTTAGGGGAGGGGAAATAACCAGAATTTGGGGTATTACTGCTTACTGGCTCTGAATTATCTCTGATTCCTGGAACCCAAAATATCACTGTGGTGTGAGAGCCCATGAAGGGCCTAAGAAGTCAGGGAATAAGTGGAACTTGGGCTTAAGCCCAACTCCTAGTGGACCTGATAAAACCCACCCCCAAACCATGAGTATTTTCCCAGTTCTGAAATACAGAGTTGCAATTTACACATTCGGCAAATGACAGAATCCCCACATTGTTCGAACCCCAAATTATGGAGTGAGGGCTTTCTGATAGAAAAGGCCAGGAGGAAGTCCCTAAAACTACTTTTACTTGCCCAAATGGTAAACCAAAGGCAATACAGCGTTCTCAGAACCGTGCCACCAAAAAGGCTTTCAAGAATGGACTTGTGGTGGTTTCTTCTACATTCCCATTTATTTCATCTGTTTGGCCTGTGAAGAAAAGCTAGATTTAGGGGAATGATGAGAAATTATAGTACACTTATTCAGGTCATAATTCCAATCACATCTGTTTTTCCAAATGAAGTTTCCATATTGGAGCAAACCAATACAATTCTTGGTACTTAGTATACCACTCTTGATCTGATGGTACTTTTTCTCTTATCTTTCCTAATAAAGACTACAAAAAGCAGTTTGCTTCCACTGGTAGGGCTAGCAATGCACTTCACTGTCCTATCTCAGGCTTTCATCAACTCTACAGCCCTCTCTCATCACCCAGGCTGAAAATATCTTTATTGGCTCTCCATTCCATAAAATATCATCTTGGTCCCTTATACCAATGATAGCACATTGATTGGACCTGATGAGCAGGAAGTAGCAAGTATCTGATGAGTAAGAAATAAATTTCATGGAAGTCTGGGGACCTTCCACATTAGTGATTGCCTCCTCTGTTCTGGGGCATGGTCCGGATATCTCTTCCAAGGTAAAGAATAAATTGCCATACTTAGCCCTTCCTACTCCAAAGACAAAAAGACATTTAGTGGGTTTCCAGTTTTCGATAGTGCCCAGTGAGAGAAGGCTGTGTGAGAGGTCCAAGCTGTGCACCAAGCCCTCTGGCACTTGAGCCCTCCGATCCAGAAGACCACTGATATTTGAAACGTCTGTGACAGATGGAGGTATTGTATGGGGCCCTGGCAGGATCGTTGGTGAATCACAGCACAGACCTGTAGGATTTGAAGCAACACTATGCCATCTTCTAAAGATGACTGTTGTCCTTTAAAGAAACAGCTTCTGGTTTGCTACTGGACCCTGGGAGAGACTGAATACTTGACTTTGGACTATCAAGTCGTCATGGAACCCCGACGGCTCATTTTGAAAGAGGCATTGTTTGACCCACTAAACCATTACACCGGGCACGTGCAGCAGCACTGCGGCATGAGTGGAAGTAATGTATGTAAGACCAGGCTCAAGCAGGTCCTGAAGGTACAGGTAAGTTGCATGAGTAACTGGCTCAGATTCCCGTGGTTCTTGTCCCTATTAACTGTCTCCTCTGTCTCCATCCACACCTCTGGCCTCCTGGGAATTTCTCTGGGTCCCACTATCCTGAGGAAGACAAAATTCAGGTCTGGTTACACTAGCAACGTTTTCAGGGTACACTAGCAACACCCAAAAGTGGACACCTGTTGCACCACCACCGGATCAAGAGAGGTCCTAATGACCTTGGTTATGGAAAATCCTCCCCGGGGTCTGAAGTGGGTATAGATTTGCCTTTCCTGCCTGCAATGCTTATGGCAAAATCATCTTCTGTGAACCACAAAATGTCTCATTCATCCTCATGGCATTCCTTTCTGAACAGAAAAGTGATTTTATACCAGATGAATGATAGCAATGGGCTCAAGCTCATAGAATTCACTGGGCTTATCATGTTCTCCATCATTTTGAAGCAGTTGGCCTGATAGGTTTGGGGAACGGCCTTTTGAAGACTCAGTTGTGGTGCCAGATGGATGACAACACTTTTCAGGGCAAGAATAATGTTTTACAGGATGCAATATACGCACTGAGTAAGTAACCGCCATATGGTGCTTTTTATCACAGTTCCAAGAATTAAGGGATGGAAATGGGATTGTTCTTCTTATTAATAACTCTAATGGTCCACTAACAAAAATTGTGCTTCCCATTCCTTCAACTTTGTGCACTGTTGGTTTAGAGGTCTTCGTCCCAAAGGAAGGGTGCGTTCAGGAGGGATACAAAAATGATTCCAGCAAACTCGAAACTGAAACTGTAATGTGGCCATTTGGGCCTTCTCATGCCACTGAACCAACCATTGAAAAAAAAAGTGGCTTACTATATTAGTTACTTGGTTGATCCTGCTCCTCGGGGGAAATTGGGTTGCTACTACATGATGGGGGCAGAAGGGGACATCTCCAGGGACACCTCTTCATACTCCTGTGTGCTATGAAAAGAGTCGACAGAAAGCCACAACAGCCCAATACAGCAGGACTGCAAATGATACACATCCTTCGGGAGTGAAGGTTTGGGTCACCCTCAAAGAAAGCTGACTGCTCGCTGAGAGCAGAAAATACTAACTGGGTACAAAGGAGGTTGAAAATAGCAGCCATGACCATGTGAGCAACTGCAGATATGAGGATTGCAGTATTATGGGTATATTTTTTCATCGATATGAATATAGTCACACATGTCTGTAGGTATGCATACACACCACTTTTTTCTTTTCTTCTCTCCCATTCTTCTACTATATAACACAACATATTGATTTTGTACATTACTATGTAAGTTACAAGATACCAAAGAAGGAGTGCAATCCAGCTATAAGACAAATGGACATCATCTGAAGATAGGTCTCATTTTTGTGTATTCTTTGGGAAAGATCAGCGCCTTGTCAGCTCTGTGAGGGGTAGTTATATCTTCTTTAAGTGGAAGCATGATTTTGCTAATTTCTTCATTTGGAAGCAGTTAAAAGAAGATGTATAGCTATTCTAAATTGCACTGTTTTCCAGAATTCCCTTTCTGTCATGGCTCTGAGTTAGCGTTGGCTGAAAGAAGAGCCTACATGAAACCTGGGAGGTAGAAGTGAAGTAGTAAACACTGCTTTCAGAAGTTTGTTGCAGTCAGATATGGTGATGGATAGATGCATAATTCCGTACTGGATCCAAGCTTGTCCTCACTGTCCTGAAATTCCATGATCAGTGCACAGAGACCACAACTTTCCATAGACCTCTTGAAGAGTTCCCTTTGAGTGGCCTCACTTGGGCATCTGAACAGGATTGGCCTCTTAGGTTTCCCCAAAAGTTTCAACTTGTCCACCTACACCATTGTTTATAGTACATTGACTATTGACGGTATGGTCCATGTAGGAAGGTCATGATAAATGCGTGATTTTTTAATTTTTATTTACCAATGAATAATTCTCTGTTATCTTCCCAAAGTGGCCTCTTAGCTTTTCCCCCAAGTATCTAAATTCATGGATTTGAACATATTTGATCTGTTTTTATGCATTGCAATCAGTGAACTTAGTGATGTTCAAATTGTCCATCTTCGGCCATCTATCGAGTTCTGATATATCATATTTTCATTATCATTTACTACAAAGTATTCTAAAACTCCTGATACTATTTCTCCTTTGACCTATGCATTATTTAAAAGTATGGTTTCCGTGCTTGCTTCAGTAGCACATACACTAAAATTGGAACGATACAGGGAAGATTAGCATGGCCCTTGTGCAAGGGTGACATGCAAATTCATGAAGCATTGGGGCGCCTGGGTGGCTCAGTGGGTTAAAACCTCTGCCTTCAGCTCAGGTCATGATCCCAGGGTCCTGGGATCGAGCCCCACGTTGGGCTCTCTGCTCAGAGGGAAGCCTGCTTCCCACTCCCTCTCTGTCTGCCTCTCTGCCTACTTGTGATCTCTCTCTCTCTGTCAAATAAATAAATAAAATCTTAAAAAAAAAATTCATGAAGCATTCCATATTTTAAATAAAAAAAATAAATAGGTAGATAGATAAATATATAAATGTATGGTTTCTTTTTAAATATTCAAGAATGCAAAATGTTTTACTAATTTTTTTTTAAATTTATTTATTTGACACAGAGAGAGAGATCACAAGTAGACAGAGAGGCAGGCAGAGAGAGGAAGGGAAGCAGGCTCCTTGCCGAGCAGAGAGCCTGATGCAGGGCTCGATCCCAGAACCCTGGGATCATGACCTGAGCCGAAGGCAGAGGCCTTAACCCACTGAGCCACCCAGGTGCCCCAATTTTTTACTAATTTTAACTTATTTCTAATTGACAGCTTACTTAGTTGCATCGTGCTTCAAAGATTACTGTCATTTGAAACCAATATTTTGAAATTTGTTGAGATTTCTTATGTGTCCATGCATAGAGATCTACAAACTTATTCTATAAAAGGCCAGATAGTAGATATCTTAACCTTTGTAAGCTGTATTTTTCCTCCACCTTTTCAATTTTTACTTTATATAATTTGCTATTTTATTAGCTACACATAAGTTTAGAATTTTTATATTTTCTTCTTGAATTGAGCTTTTAAAAAACTATTATGAATCTCTCCCTTTATAGTTAATAATTTTTAGTCTTAACACCTATTACTTCTGATAAAAATAGAGCCACATCAGTTTTCTTTTGGTTCATGGTTGCCTGTTACATCCTTCTTTGTTTTTTATTTTCAAGCTTTACTTGTTTTCATGTTTTTGGTGATTCTCTTAAGCATTGAATAATTAGGTTAAAAAAATTCTTTCTGGCATTACCTACTTTTTTTACTTAGAAGCATACTTGATTTGTACATTGGGATTACAGATTTATCTGAATTTGTTTATACCATGTCATTTTAAATGTCTACCTGTCCCACTTTTTCTGTTTCTTTTTTTTTCTTTTTACAGCAGACACAGTAACGATCAGTAAATATTCCATATGCTGTCCTATCTAAACACTTGTGTTTAGGGGAGGCAACATGAACAATCCGGAGCCATAGAAACGAAAGTGGCATATGCCATTTCTGGTCCAAAGCTGGGAAGGGTGGGTTTGGGTTCTCCACACGTTCTTTTATCCAGTTGCAACAGCTTACGACATGCTGGAGGGCAAAACCTTCGTCAGTGTCAGTCAACTTCTTCAGTGACTGTGCAGAGCAGATTTCCCCAGCTGTCTTCATCGGTGTGCAGCGAGAGTGAGAGGGGAGGGAAGCTTGATTTGTGTTAACGTCTGTGAGATGGTGAAGTTGATTGATCATCATAGCATAAAATAGCCCATTGTAACCAATATGTTATCTTAAAATCGTTGGAATGATTGAGTCATTTTTCTTTTTCCTTTTTCATTCCCCTCTCCCCTTGGTTTGTATTTGGTCTGTTTTTATTTATTTTGTGTTTAGTGTGTATTGGGCGGGGGGTGTTGTATGTGTAGATTTCCATTACTGTTTGGGAGCCTAGCATAGCGCTGAAAGTATGTTTTCTTCCGGTCCTGTTGTTTTATTTGTACAGCCAGATCCTTCAGAGTGTCTAGAGCTCATGCGGCTGCAAGGAGAATCACTTCTCCTTTTTCTTGCAAAAACACAGGTGCCCAGCACCCGTCTCCAGGAACACACACCGGGTTTAGCAAACCTGCTGTTGTTGGCCAGATGTGTTTCTGAATTCAAATACTTTGGATCTAGAAAAGTAATAGAGTGCACCTCTGAATTAAATATTTAAATAAATCAGCTGCCAAACATATGAGTATTCCGAGAATCGGGTAACTGCAGATAACCAAACAGCCTCCAGTGCTGCACATCAGTTTCTGCCACCAAATGGGTTACGTAAAAATTTGTTTTCCAAGTTTTCTGGATTATGAATAAGGGAATCTTGACCTGTGTCTCTTTAAATAAGCTACAAAGTAATTAACTAACTTACTGGTTTATTGGTGATATTCTAGTTCTGAGAATCAATTCTGGCCCCTTTCTTGACATTAGTGTTTTTCAAGGCTCATGAGCCACAATGCATTTCATATTGTCTTTTTTTTTTTAAAGATTTATTTATTTATTTTAGAGGGTGGGGAGGGGCAGAGAGAGGGAGAGGGAGAGGGAAACCTAAGCAGACTCCGCAATAAGCACGGAGCCTGACACTGGTCTTGATCTCATGACACTGAGATCACGACCTGAGCCAAAATCAAGAGTTGGACCCTTAACTGACTATGCCACCCAGGCTTCCCATTTTATTGTCTTTTACTAGCAATGTCGAAATCACCACATGGAAGCCATTTCCTGGTGACCCCATTTCAGCATAATTTTTACTGATTATAAATTTAAATTTTAGATACAAAATTTTAAGGATATTTATTATATCATCATGCTTTCATACCAGACCAGCGGAAATAGTGAAAAGATCTGGAAGCCACAGTGTATAAAGAATACTTGAAGAAACTAAGTACGTTACGGGGTAGAAAATCATGGAGACTATCAGGTATATTAAGAACTTTTAGAATATTCAACAGAACTAGAAGCCTCTTATCCTGACATTCTGCCCAATAAAGAATCCCGTCCTGAAGTCACCCCAGTAGTTAACCACTGCTGTCTTCTGGAACAACTTCTGTCTTCTACTTTTTAAGGCATGCCTCCACATTATTTAATTGCTAAACTAATAGGTAGCTTTCCCTTATACTGAGAAGTTTCTTCCTCTTACCCACAACCCATCCAGGACACACACACACACACACACACACACACTTTGTTTTCTCCAGGATAACTATACCCAGTTCCCTCAAACCTTGAAAGAACAGAAATGTTCAAATTGCAAGTTTCACAACTGAAATCCAGAAATGGAGGGGACAAAATGATAGTGTAAAACTCACAGTAAGAAAGAATTTTCTGAGGGGCGCCTGAGTGGCTCAGTCGGTTAAGCATCTCCTTTCAGCTTGGGTCATGGTCTCGGGTCCTGAGATCCTGTCCTGCATCAAGAGGGCGCTCAACACAGGGGGCGGGGGGGGGGGGGTGTCTGCTTCTCCTTCTCCCTCTGCCACTCTCCCCCAATACTCATGCTCTCATTCTCAAATAAATAAGATCTTAAAAAAAAAAAGAAAGAATTTTCTGACTTAAGTTTTTCAGTAATGAAGCATACTCCTTTCCAGTGAGGACAACATCTCATTTTAGCAGACATTTAGCAGAGTAGCGGACCATGTGATCTGAAGAACTTTCTGCTGTGAGAGAAAGGCATGCTGACCTCCGAGATTGTCCCCACTTCCAAACTGCTTCAATCTTTGATTCTAAAAGGTTGAGAAATGATGAAACAAAATTTCTTTTCCAGTTCTCTCTTCCTCCCCTAATGAATCATTAACCTCACATTAAATCATCCTTCCTAAGAAAAGTTCTGAGTTTGTTATACCCAGCTGTCTTTTAGTCAGTGTGAACTTCTTAAAAGGCAATTTTTACAGAATTTCCAGTGGAGATGCCAAATATTGATTTGTGGTTGCCAGATAGAATGTGTGTCCTGTTCTAATCTGTAGTGAAGTATGTTTCATAAAGCCAAGTTGGATTCCAAAGAACATTTTTTTGTATTTTGAGTTGGTATAGACATGACAGTATGGCTTTATTGAGGTTGACTCTTTTCTCATGTGATACATTATTGCTTTGTTGTCAAAAATACTGTTGGCAATTTAAAAATAAAAAAGCTTTGGGGCGCCTGGGTGGCTCAGTGGGTTAAAACCTCTGCCTTTGGCTCAGGTCATGATCCCAGGGTCCTGGAATCGAGCCCCACGTCGGGCTCTCTGCTCAGCGGGAGCCTGCTTCCTCCTCTCTCTCTGCCTGCCTCTCTGTCTACTTGTGATCTCTATCTTTCAAATAAATAAATAAAATCTTTAAAAAAAAAAGCTTTAAAAACAAAAATCCTTCTAGAAAAGGCAGATATACTGTAAGATACTTAAAGTTGCACAGAATATATCACAAAGAGCAAGAGCTTCTATACACAAATCTCACTAAACACCAAATAAAATTCTAAAGAAGCCTTGTTATATGACCTGATCTGGATTGGGTATTGGTTGACAATTGATTAACTGCAAAAACTGCTCAAAATAGCACACACATTTCAGAAGCCTGTATTTTACCTTAGAAGATGTAAATACTGTACATGTGTTTTGCTATAGGGCCAAAGTTTTAAATTTTGAAAACTTTCATTATCTTTTTGTTTTTAAACATGGGTCTGTGGATTACACTGGCACATCTTTCTTTCGTAAACTACACCCATAATTCCTGGTCTATGATTTCTTGCTTGAGTTTCTTTAAAGTGAATCAAGGACTTCAGATCACATACAAAGTAATTCAGTGCAGAATCCTAGACTTTGCATTTTTCTTTTTCAACCTTTTATATTTGCCTCCCCACAACCAAATCAACAGCTATTTCAAGTACTCAACCCCTTTCTAGGCTTTGCATATCCCGAATTTAGTATTCACAGAAACCACAACTCTTTCTCTTTTTACACAGTGTCATCATTTTGTTCAATATTTAATTAATTTAGATCATTAAAACAACAAGTACAATGGGTAGAAACCAGTCAGGGAACAAATAGGAGTGCTTGATATACATAGAACCTAACTGGAGGGAGAAGACATGCCCAGAGCACACTAAAGAGTGCCTACCAATGGCTGGTATGGCTGTGCTATGGGCATGTGGTGTGCTCTGGGCACTAAAACGTGTCCACATGTTTTATGGAAGGAATGAGAAGCATGGGCTAGTCTAGAGAGCATGTAAAGAGGCGTTTCTTTAAGAAAGCTACCGTAGTGTCAAATGTGCC